CAAGCAGCCATGACTTACTTACACGACGCCTGCAGCAAGACACATTGAGAGCGTTTTTGGAGCTATATACGACAAATGCTGGGCTGCAACACAAACCCAAATGTGCATCAGTTCACCTCAGGACTAAAACACCTCTCGATAAAAAAACTGTTCAAACTGTCGGACAATGAAAACGTAGAGGATGACAAGGCTGACCTCCTAAAGGAGTTGCAAATATCTTCGCACCATGAAAGTTTAATTTCAGACATTGTGGAATGCCTTCCAATTGATGACTTCCCACCACTGGAGGATATTTCTGAGCTGGCATCAGACATCAGGTCTAACATAATTGATGACTCGTCCACTTTTTTAATACGTTTGGGGCTATTTGATCAAGCTTTTGCTTCAACAGACAACTTACAGCTATGGCTGTTCTCAGCTGCTATCGGATGAGTCTAATAACTTGACCAGGCCTCACCAATGCTGTCTTGTTCCTAAAGCATACCACGTGCCTGGAAAATTCTTCGGGAACTTAGTAGTACCACCACAGGCTGCCTTTCATTTCATTCAGCAACTGGAAAATCACTTTCTTTCCATAATAGAGAGTGTGGCACATTTTCGAGGAGTGTGTGCCGCCTTGTATAGCACACTTTGAGGTCTGGGTGGTTTTAGCCTTTGCCCAGAGGAGTACCACAAAAGGTTTTTAAAATTGTTTTGCAGAATACGCTTGTGTTGACATGTTTGATTTCGTAACCGGAATTTGGACAAAGTTCGGTTGCACTCTTCAGTGGCTAGTAAGCAACGAGACACGTTTAACTGTTAATAGTGTATTAACAGAGGCGGTTGCCAAACCAGAAACAAAAAGTGTTTATTAAGTGGGGGTTGCAGCTTGCTCTCCAAACATATGTTTCCCATTTTTCCAGCGAATGTGTATCACGGCTCCCTAACAAAAATATTTGTCCACTTTCTACAAAATTTCGACAGAAAATTGTGTATAGAGGCTAAAAATATTTGGGAGAAAATGTATCCACTTTTGTATCTACTGTCCATAGTTTTTTAGCCGCTTTTTTCTGAAGCCATATTTCTTTTCTGAACAATTTTGGGGAATGTTTAGGGACGTTGAATCTTGTCAGATTTCGAATAGAGTTCTCATTGTTTGTTAATGGCTCGCCCGCAGTGAGTTTGAGGCTATGCAATTTGGTGTTTTTTATATTTGCCGGAAATCGCGGAATTTGTACTATCCGGCGTGTGCTTCGCACTGTTATTATACTTTTATGACTGGTAATGATAGAGATGTCTTATTTCTTTTTGCACTTACTTCCCGTACCCGAGTCGGCGTGAAAGTGAATGTATCATACAGCATGTTCTCCGTGGAAAGGGTTTTTAACTTGGTTCCGCTAAGAATTTATTACGAAGTGTACGATATGCTGACGTCCTTCATAGTCATTTATTCTTGTGAGTATCGATCTCTTTCGTATAAAACATACAGAGCTTCTGAAGTAAATCATGTATACATGAATGTGGTCCAATAAAATGTGTTCGAACCACTTACTGTTGTCGACCCCAAAATGCTCCACCAGTCAGGAGTCAATGCGGCGATTGTGTAACTTCAATGCTTTACAATAGAAAAAGAACAAGAAATATATATACTTCTGCTTTGTGAAGTAAGTTGAACTATTGTTTGACACATTTTGCACGGACTCTATCGTAAAAAATAAAGCAAAAGTGCGTCAGTATTAAAAAAAAACAAAAAACAGCGGCTTCGGGAGTCCCGAGAGCCGAGCGAGGCGGGGAGGAAAGAGAGAGGGGTACCGGAGAACCGGAGCAGAAACGCCCAAACCGAAACCGAAACTAACTTGACCGGAAACGGAATCAGATTATGCTTCATACCGCCCGCTAGGAGCGCTACCTGTCAGTGATCTATCTGGGCCGCTGGGGTCTATGGCAGTGTCCGCTCTTTACCTTGTGTATATTACTCTATGGCGCAGCGTCTGATACACCGCACAGCAGAGCAACAGCGCATGCTCAGTCAGAAGTCGTTCCACAGCCTAGCAGACAAAAATGGCAGCTCGCAGGAGGCGACTTTTGGAAAACGACTGGCAGTGTGCAAAGCAGACCGTCTTTGAAAGGGCGCGGGTGGTTACACACAGAGTGAAAGACAGCAGGAACTTGCTGCGGTGATAGTTCCGTAGTTCTTTTTATTGCTTCGTTTTGTTTCTCGCCTCGCCAGCTCCTGCACGTCGGCGAAGGTGGCGAGCAGAAGCTACTTAAATAAAAACTGACCTGCTCGTATTTTTCCTTGCTTGTAAAAAAAAAAAAAAGGACCTTTAAAATTAGACATTTTTTTTGGAGTCAATCCCTCCCCCCCCTCCCCCCCCCCCCCTTTTTTTTTCTCCACATTTACCCGGGAAAAGGAAAGGACGGTTCCGTCAGGCCAAATATATTAAAGATTTTAAGCGGCGGAAACGGAAATGCCTATATATATCTTTTTAGTTTATTTAAGTGGTCTTTTACTCACAGCGTAGCAGGCAGCGCCGGCAAGACTGACGCGTCTACCACTTTGCGCCGTCTTTCGTCCGGCTTCGTGGTGTTTGCCATTTGGGACGGGTCGGTGATCCACAAACCATGACGTCATGAGCAGGCCTTACGTTAATAAAGTAGGGTTGTCAATCGGGCCGGTTGGTAGCAGTTAAACACGATTAAATACAGCCTCAAAAAGCACGAACGATGAACAAGAAACGAACACGACATAGCAACGGCTGGCACACAACTCAAGTTTAATCTATAAAAAAAAGGAAGCAAGGAAACTTCTTAAACAGATTACACACACACGCACAGAATAAAACGCACGCCTACAAGGCAAGTAAAGGCCGCGGAGATTTCGCCATGTAACACCAACACGCGGCTCTGACGTCACGCCTCTGCGGTGGCGCTGTTGTCGCCACGGCGCATGCGCAGAAGCTTCACCTCACGTAAATCTTGTTTCTGCGCACGCGGAATGCCCACACCTGGTGTGGGCAAACGCAAGCTTGTTTGTAAACAGCGTGTCGGTCTATACATTATCTCCTTTTCGGATAACGCCCCCGACGGCTCACTGACACGTCTGTCTGCCAACGAAGAAATAAAGATTGCTTCAATTATTTTCCGAGTCATTCTGTTTCGGGACTCCTACCGCTACATTGCAGGGATTGTTCGTTCGTGGCTCCCTTCTTTTGGTGACGCGGTCGTTGTGGGAAAACACCGAGACAGAATGACTCGAGAAATAATTGAAGCCTTCTTTATTTCTTCGTTGGCAGGCAGATGTGTCATTGAGTCATTGGTGGCGTTATCCGAAAAGGAGATAACATATACCTTCGATATAAAATAAGTACCAGTTTGCAAAACGATATCTCCGCGGCCCCTAGTTACCTGGTAGGTGTGAGCTTTCGTATGTGCGTGTGTAATCAAAAGTAGAAGTTTGGGCTAGTTGGTATTTCATGATTAAAGATTAAAACAGCGCAAGGACACGGACAAGAACAAGAAGGTAGACAAGCAAGGCACTGACATACAACTGAAGTTTATTCGTTCTAACAGCGAGTATAAATACTGTATTGTCACAACAAACAAACATAAATAAAAAGCGTGACCTTGATGCCACGTGCTCACTATACTTCGTCTCATCCTACGATGGACTAAAGGCGAAAGCCACGGGCCGCCAGGTCCAATGACGTTCCACGCTAAACTATGACATGCTTAACGTTGATTAAGATTGGACAAAAAAATGCTCCGAATCCAAAAACGCTGCGTCATTTCTGTACTTTCAACACTGCAAAGAGCCAGTACCTCGTGGCTTTCTTTGCAATGTAAAATTGTCGGGTCACTCATAGCTCCCTTCGAACCATTGTCCGCTCGTTCCCATCAGTGATCGGACACGCGGGCACCGATACGTGCATCGAAGCGAAATACCACGCAATGTCTAAGTTGCTCGTGATTGGATATGGCAGTTCGTAGCTTCTGCCTTTAGTCCATCGTAGGGTGAGACGAAGTATAGCCATCGCTATGCACTGTCACTGTGTGTCTAAATAGGAACGTTCCTCATCTGATAAAGATAGTGACGGAGTGCTGACCACAGTTTTGCTCCAATCTTCCAATTTCCCGCGCCTCAATGATTTCCCGAGTGTGTTTGTCTTTATTTTTCCTAATCACTTGCAACCCTGCTTTTCTTTAGAACAGGAGTGCACTTTTCTGCACAGCCCAGAGTCCAGACAGCTTCTCCAGAGCCAAAAAAAACCACATCAACTCCAACCCTACGGCAAAACTCGGGTGTTAAAACGAATAAACCTCAGTTGTAAGTCAGCGCCTTGTTTGTCTACCTCCTTGTTCTTGTCCGTGTCCTTGCGCTGTTTTAATCTTTAATCGTGTGTAATCTGTTTAACAAACTTCCATGGTTTCCTTTTCATAGGATAAAACTTCAGTTGCGAGTCGGCCGTTGTCCTGTCGTTTTCGTTTCTTTTATCTTCGTCCGATTTCAGTGAGACTGTATTTTATCACGCTTAAGTTGGCAGTACCGTAACACCGATACAAGGCGGTTCCGGGCGCGGTCTTTTTGTAACTGACCTATGCAAAATACGACCGTACAACCCTTTAGATTTTTTTAATAATATCGCGCGAACGCCGACCGGCCGGAAGAGCAACGCCTTGTCGTGGCGTGAAACAGCAAGTCAGCGAGGCTAGGCGTGTGCCTTCTGTCTCGCTGACCTGCTCTTTCACGCCGCGATAAGGCGCTGATATTGGTAAAGAATCTGGAGGCTCTACGTCTGTCACCATAGTTTATTTTGGCATGCCATTTCCTCTTGTCGTTGTTGGGCAGCCTTGACATCCACTTCACTTCCGTTGCGACTGATTCGAAACGAAAGAGAATTTGGTGGAGAGGGTGTAGAATGCGGAGGGAGGGGGGGGGGGGATCGTCACGTGAGTTCCCTCGCAGCGACCTTGAAACAAAGAGCCCTCCCCCAGAGAACGTCCTTTCCTCGTAAAAAAAAACAACGTCGTTCAAGAGGCAAGGCCAAAGTCGCTGCCGCTGGTGCCGGAGTAACTTCTGCAGCTCTGACGGTCGCCACAACTTTCCGGTAAGATCTTGGAAATACTTTGTTTTTGGACGAGTTAATATTGTGTCAAATATGGTTACTAATTACGCTTGTTTCTGCCTGATTTAGAGATTGTCCGATGTCGTGGCGATTAAAGCGAAATTCCAACATACAAATCAGAACCCGGAATTGCGTTACTTTTTGGTTAGTCATTTCGAGAATGCTAAAGAGCATTTAAGACACAACTAAAATGTTTTTCTGAAAGAAAAAAAAAAAAAATGAAATCACAAAAGTCTGGTACGTTTCAACGACTTTCTGGGAAAAAGGTGGCGGAATATATTTTCGGTCACAATTTATGGGCGCGAGCGAGTTCGTGAAGGGGAAACTTTTTTTCTCGATTTCGCTATATATTGCACAGACGAAATTCCGCATGAACGCCGTATAGGTATATACGGGCCATTCCGATATCCGCCTTTAGCGCGCTGCACCTTCTGAACACGTGCAGTAATAGATATGTTCTCTTAGACGCCGAGAGTTTGTTCACAGCCCAGAGACCGGCTATTTCTCGCACGGGAAGGTATGTAAGATAGGCGATTCCTTTTTATAGATCCAAGTGCTATGCTTCGCTTCACTTTTTGTTCGAGCACAACGAACACTACGAGCTAATGCTACATGGTCTCAATTAAGCAGAGACAAAAGTGCAGCGTCACGGCAACGGCACACCTCGACCTCCGCGTGCGTCTGCTATTGTCGGCTAAACCAATCAACCGCAGCGAACGCACCGTGACCTCGCACTTTTAGGACGCGTGTGTGTGTGGGGGGGGGGGGGGGGGGGGCGGGGGGGGGGGGGGGGGGGAGGGGTGAGGGGTCTCAGCCCTAGCCTCGACTGAGCTCGGAAAGGCGATGAAATAGAGTAGAAGTTTCCCAGAAGCCATCGCAGCTCATCGCTCTCCTCAAGGTTTGGCTTGGAGCCAGCTTAGCCATAAGGCACCTTCGGATGGATGGATGGATGGTAATGGCTATAACCTTTGTAACGGGCGGCAGCTTGCGCCGCCTAGCCTAACATTTCGTCATCCCTTTTTCTGTTCTAACACAACCCCCCTTTCCTTTTTAAAGTGTTTCCATTGCTTATTTTTATCTATTTTTACCCCTCCCTAGATCTTTTCCACCAATCTTCCAATCTCCTCTTAGTCACCGCAATTCTTTCCCTATCCATTCGTCCATCCATGTCTGTAAATCCCAGTGCCCCCTCCAAATCCGTAGTCATACCCCCCAAGAAGGTGGGACGGAGTCCCTACACCTTAAAATTACGTGTTCTATCGTTTCCCTTTCGTGGTTGCATATGTTGCATAGAGTGTCAATTTCCTGAATTTATCCCTGTATGTTTTCGTTCTTAGCACCCACGTTCTAACTTCAAACAGTAATGAGCTCCCCGATGAATTATCACACAACTGTTCCTTCTTTGTTTCTTGTTTTTGTGCCCTGTATATTCTTAAAGCTGATTTCCCCTGCATTCTCTCTTCCCACAATTTCCTCTCTGGTTCCTTTACTTCCTTTTCTACTGATATACTCTGATCTGCCCCATCTCGTTAAATGTATTTAAATCTCAGCTTTCGGGTTCGGTTTGTCCACCTAGTGTTTAGACTTTTCATTTATAAAGTACTTGTACACCCTTTCGCTGCCCACCGCGTATCCTCAATTTCAGCTAGCCTTTGTTAAAATTTTACTTTACTGATCGCTTCTCTACTCTCGAAAGATACCCTACCCATATCCCCCTGTACTCCCTCATTTGGTGTATTCCCATGTGCCCCCAATGTAAACCTACCCACACTTCTTTGCTGTATCTCTATACCTGCCTGGATTGCTGACCTCGTACACAATACCGCATTCCCAAATGACAGTCCTGGCACCATAACTCCCTTCCATACACCCCTAACGACTTCATATCTATTATAGTCCCAGAATGCCCTGTATTTCATGATAGCTCATTTTCGTTTCCCCTCCTTTATTACAATATCTTCATGGTCTTTTAGATAGCGTCATCCTTCACTTAACCATACTCCCAGATATATGTACTTTTCTACGTGTTCTATCAATGTGTCCTGTATCTCCAGGGGCTCCCCATTCTCGTCGTTTAAAACTATTATACCCGAGTTGTCCCTACTAAATTTTAGTCCTAAATTGTCCCCTTCTCTGCTGCAAATACTAATCAGCTCCGGTATTGTCTCACGACTTTCTGATACGAGTACAATGTCGTCTGCACACACTAACCCTGGCAATACTTGATTTACTTTGTCTTTCCTCCATGTAAGTCAGGTCAAAACCTAGGTTGCAAAGTTATAACATTTTTTCCACCTCACTGAGGTATATCACAAAGAGCAGGGAAGACAATGGGCAACTTTGTCTAAAACCTCTTTTTATCGTTGCTGCTCTTATAGTTTCGACTTCGCAGGTTATAACCACCCTGTTCTCCGTATAAACCCGTTCTGGAAACTTAACCATGGTTCCCTATAGTCCATATCCCTCCAGTTTGTTCCAGAGTTTTTCCTGATTCACATTGTCATATGCCGCTTTGATGTCTAAAAATGCTACCCATAATGGTTTTTGACTTGTCATTGCTATCTCTATGCTCTGAGTGATTACGAATAAATTGTCATCTATCTTTCCTGAAACCGTTTTGAAGCTCCCCTAGAATCTGCTTTCTCTCTACCCATTCCTTCATTCTTTTTACAATTTACATAGCTATAGCCTGTATATTACTGAAGTTACTGTGATTGGTCGGTATAATTTGATACTGTCTTTGTCTCCCTTGCCCTTATATAATAATCTCATCCTGCTCACTTTCCAGCCATTGGGTGCCTCCCCTCCCATAAGTATCTGGTCAATCACCTGCCTTAGTTTCAGTTTGCTTATTTTGCCTAGAACTTTTATCAATCTCATTGGTATGTCTTCTTCGTGGCTCGTGCTGTCAATACTCTTCTCAGCCGCTGCCCTCCGTTTCCCATTAGGTCCAAACACGGCTGGCGCTACAAGCTTTGGGGGGCCAATAACTCGGCGCCAATATTGAATCGTCACGAAGGAGTATAAAATGCAGAGCCACTCAGGTGTGGACGCATCCACAGTGTATGCAGGCTCAGAAGGCGTTTCACAGCCCAGCAGACAACGGTAGCCGCAAGCAAAAGGCCATATTTATTTATCTTTTAGCACAGCGTTATAGATAGGCGGCTGAACCTTGAAACATGCTCACATATGTCTGGAGGATATCTACTATCGGCAAGGCCGTTCGGGACTGCAAAAGTGGCAATTTCTTGATAACACCGCGCTAATCAATCGACAGCACGCACTTCTTTATCAATCTGGCACGCAAAACTGGGAGCGTGGTCGCTGCCAACTTCACGTAAGAGGGCTTCATTCCCTTCATTGTGTCCGCGCATGGTGGCGTGATTTATCTGCCCTGAACCGCTCTGTGCACGAAGGACGTCGCGTGGTCTCGGCCAACTGTTACGAAACCCACCCCCATCTCAAACAACACCAGGTGGTGTTGATCTCAAAACGGCTCGGCGCGTGCGTGGTAGAGGTGGATTTAGGGTTGCTGGCTCCTATTGTTTAAAAAATATCGGCAGATCGGTGACACTTTTTTCAAGTAAAGTGTTGATTGTTGATGAAAATTTCGTAACACCGTTTAGGTGCAAAAATGAAAAATAATTTAAAATAGCCCCACTAAAATATTGCCTCGTAGGCTCAATTTATGAAACACTTTATTATACGTTCGAAGCGGTTCCTTTGCAGCTGTATAAGGTGTAATGTGTGAAGCTACAATACTAATAGCTTGGTTTTTTTTTTATATTGTAAACGACTTATTTTTCGCGGGCTCAACATTTCGCGATTTAGGTGAAAGCTGAAGTTCTGAAATAATTCGCGGGTTCTAATTTTCGCGACGCGGTGGGATCTTAATATAGATTCCAATATGTTTATATTTTACCGGAATTGTTCGCGGGACCTGTTTTTCGCGGATTGTAGGCGATTCACGAGAATTAGGTCCTTGCGAAAATTAAGTCGTTTGCAGTATTTACTTTTTGCTTATCTGTTCGAAACAAATGATTCAACAGCAATCCAACATCCTTCATGAGATGACGGAGGTGCGTGTGGGCGCGGAAGCTAAACTACGCGACACTCCATTCCTAGCAATGTAAAAAAAGAAAAAAAAAAGAAACGCGATTGGGGATTAAAAAAAAAACAAAAAAAAACCTGCACAATTTACGTTTGCGGGTATTTCTTTAAATTGCGATACAATTTTAGTTCACATGTATCTGTAATATAACAACCAACTTTCATAAGAAAAGTTAAAGCCCAAGAACAAAATTATTGAAAATAAACTTTTGTGGAAGTCTCAGGGTGGCAGCGAACTTTTCGTTATTAGGACTGGTTTCTTTAGTGCTAAATACGTGAGCTTTTGTGGAACTTGGGGTTAAACTGGTTAGGTGAGAAAACTGCGAATATTCACGCAATATAAACACAAGCATACACACTTTTAATGATTTCTTTAGCTTTTAATGTGAGGAACATACAGCGTGAAATTTTATAATAATAATCATCATAAATCTTTATTTCCATCCATTAGGATGGTCGGACCCCCCCCCCCCCAAAAAAAAAAAAAAAAAAAAAAAAACAACAAAAACAACTGCAATGTAAATTTTTTTAAACAGAATTAAAATAAGGAAAAGTGAACAGTGCTATAAGATTGACATCTTCGCTAGGTATTTCTCGGGTTCGCCGAACATTATCAAATGGAATAATTGTTATGGTAAGTTTAATAATTAACTTAAATCTGTTAATTAATTCTTTAATAATTGGTCTTAAAATGCCATGTTGCAATTGCGGAATTGACGGCAATGGCTATTAGAAGCAAGACCAATTAAAATAATTTGCAGGAGTTGATTAGTTTTTGAAAAATTAATTAACCAATGTTTACGTTTTTTAGACTGATTTGAAAATTGCGCTCAGATAGCGCGTCGCGAGCCCTGGCCACAAAAGCACTTGAAAGAGTAACGTACCCACTCTTCTGAGTGCCATTGTGGGCAGGGCTTGTGGCGCGCCATTTTTGCGCATTTCTTTTCCTTAACGCTGGCTAGAAAAAGGGAAGTTTGGTAATTAATATCTAAAAAAAGTAATAAAGTTCTGCAAATTTTTTAATTGGTCTGGTCTCTAACAGTAATTATCATCATTCCCACAATTGCAACATGACCCGTAACCAATGATTAGGACGTAATTAATTTAGTTTTAGTTAGCAACTTACAATGACGATTATTCTCTCAGATGATGCCCGCTGAACTTGAGAAGCCCCTAGCGGAGACGACGTTCAACCAATTACTTGCACTGTTTTTTTAAAGATTATGTTTCCATAAAAAAATGAGAACAAAAGGGGGGACAACACCTGTGTCTGTGTTGTTCCCATTTTTCTTCTCCTTTTGTCCTACGTCTCGGGTTTTACAATGTCGAAAGTTCACCAGCTAGCTTGCATCTTCTCTGTAGTTTCTATACTTCTTGGGGTTTTGGTACGCCGCATGGCTATTCGTATACACTCTGGAGTTGGTAAGTCGTGGCCTCGCTGAATGCCTCATCTATTCTGAGATTGGCGTAGATAAGCCACGTGATGAGCAGCCCGGGTTTTACAGCGGCGCAGAACAATCGAGGGGGAAAACGCGTCCGGTTTTCGGTTCGCTCATTGCGAGTACTTCTGCCGAAGATGGGAGTAGCGTGTCTGTATATTCAAGGTTGCGAGTATACGCTGACGTGGATATATAATGATCTCGTGCCATTAACACGAGAACAAAAAGATTTGTTTCACCGATATCAAGCTGCGCTCGCACTGCTGATACATCATACAAAGGAACAGTCTGCAAACACTGTCTAAAGCGTGCTTCGAACATACTTTGAACATGCTTAGAACATGCTTCGGAGATGCTTAAAGCGTCGGCAGTATGGGCTTCGAACACACTTGAGGCGTCGGCTGATAATTATTTCTTGTCTACGGCGAACACAGTGTCTTTTGTATATATGTATGAACAGTGTAATTGCTGTTTAAACGAAAGAAAAAAAAAAAGAAGCTTTTTACAGCTCAGTCGTTTCTATTCGAAGATGTAATCGTGTAACCACATTGATAGGTAAAGAATGGTTGTTAACGAAGTGAAGAGAGCAACAAAACATAAATAAAACAGATTAAAACTGTTGTATTTGAGAAAAAAAAAGTGATTTAAAAATACTGTCGCTTAGGTATGCGTCTACAACCCGCGTATATCTTTATAATTTTTTTTTGCGAGTTTTGTTTTCGCGAGCGGTAAAATTCGAAAGAAGTGTCCATTAACACACTAGCGACTGGCAAATTAATTAGACACGCGTAGTAACCAGATATGTCATGGCTATTTCATAAGCCTTCAGAACAAATACTTTTATAGAATTGGCCATTGACGCATGCACAGGTGTTTAACTGTAACGGGAATATATGCTCTAAAAAAAGAGTATATCTTTACACCCCTTGTCTCATATTAAACACCCCAAAACTTCAGTTCGACGTACATCGCACTGACGTCGAGCCGACGGTACGCAAGTTTCACGTGCGGCTTGCTGCAACTTATCAAAATATCTAATATACATGTTACTGGCTACAAAACAAAACAAAAATAATCTTTTGTTGGCCCTACTGCAAAACCTGTGTTTTTTTTTTCTTCTGTAGTCTTTGATACGCACTTCAGGTTTTTAATAAGTTATATCGCATCGTTACCCGCTCGTAAAAGTTGGGGCCGTTTGTTTGACGCCAGTGCCCTGTACGTCGAACTGAAGTTTTGGGGTGTATCATATGGGACAAAGGAAGTAAGACGACACGTTTTCTTCTTCTTTTTAGAGTGTACTTAATCATCGCTGCTTCCACTCCTGTCTCTTCAACAGGATATCAAGATGGAGAACGACGTGTACCATACCGTGAAGGGTCTCTACGTCAGTCGATTTTTCGTCGAACAGAATCTCAAATCCGCCATGTCTTACAAGCCGGTTCCGGGAGACGTGTTCATCGTGAGCTACCCCAAGTGCGGAACGACGTGGATGCAGCACATCGTGTACAGCATCTACTCCGGCGGAGTACCACCAAAGGATGTGACGGAGTTCATGACCCGGACTCCGTTTCTGGAGCTTTTAGGGGCAGAGATTCTAGCCAAGATGCCAAGACCAGGAGCCATCAAGACTCATCTTCCGTACCATCTTCAACCTTATTCACCAGACGCAAAGTACATCTACGTCACCAGGAACCCATACGACTGCTGCGTGTCCTTCTACTACCATACCAAAACCTTTCCAGCGTACAAATTTGAGAACAATTCGTTCGACGACTTCTTCGAGATGTTCATGAGGGGCAAGGTGGACTTTGGAGACTACTTCGACCATCAGCTCTCCTGGTACGAGCACATCAACGACGACAACGTCTTGATCGTGACCTACGAAGACCTCAAGAAGGACGCCCGTTCAGGGATTCAGAAGATCGCCGATTTTCTGGGCGATGAGTACGGTAAACGCCTGAGAGAGAACCCGGACGTTTTGGACACTGTCGTGAAGGTGACCAGCATCGAATTCATGAAGGGTTTCAACAACGAATTCAAGAAGTGGGCGCAGATGGCTGACGAAGTGGCTGAGGGGATGGACGGGTTGCGCCTGGTAAGGGAAGCAATGACGGAAGAAGTAAGGAAGAAGCCCATCACCGGCGATTTTGTTCGCAAGGGTATTGTGGGCGACTGGAGGAATCATTTCTCAGAGGACCAGGTCAAGCGACTCAAGGAACGAATAGCAGCTAAAACTAAAGGCAGTGACCTTATGAGTCTCTGGAAGGACGTCAACCTGCCGTAACAAAAGGGTTGGCAGTCATCGAGTTCTTAATCACATCTATGAGTTATACTGTTACGCTCTGCCGGTTTAAAGGTGCGTCGGTCAGAGGAAGACAATTAAGGTGTAAATGTCAGGAGGATGCTTGTTTTGAGGTTAAGGCTCGACCCTCGTCTGCTTTGGAGGTAAGCTAAGTGAACGAGAATAAACAAAACAAAATTTTAGAACAAGAGTTTCAAATAATGCTATCAGTGCCTACGGGAATGTATTGCCCACCGGTTATTCGGACTGTTACTTGACATGTCTGAATTCTCACGAGCGTGTTTGTTTAACAAGTTTCAATATTATTGTATTATATACGTAGTGGATATCACTGGTATATTCTGAATAAAAGATTTTTCCGAAAAAGGAATGGGTTTCAATTACCGTTTTTGGAAATGCTCAAGTTCAACTAGCTTAGCAGAGAGATTTACGAGTGCAGTACGAATATACTTCGAGTAAATACAGTTTTCTTTTATCAAATACAAATTAAAAAAAAAAAAAGAAAAAAATTGCGAAAGCTACACAAATGCGGTCTGCGAAAGTGGGTTATATGGCCAGGCGGGCATTATGTTCAAGAGAGGATGCAGCTAATAGATGACTAACTAAATGGTAACTCCGGTCAAAAGTCGAACCAAAGTAAGCGATAGATATCGATGTACGGAGACTAAATACGAGCACTGCCAAAATATTACCACTTGGGGAAACCGCGATCCCTCTAAAACCGATATTAAAAATGGTACAACCAGCTCCTCAGCGGGCATTCAGCGGGTCGGCTGTTATTCAAGCAACCTTGTGCCCCGATGTCATTTTAGTTTTCAATGAGGTTTCTTGTTCGTACTGCCACTTTCGCCGGGTTCTGCCGCTGCATTTTCAGCCGTCTCAGCGGACGATTTCTGCTTGTTATGTTTCAGCGGCCGTAGTTTGTAAGTGCTTTTTGGCGATCGCGCACGAAGGACTCTGCTTGCTCAAGAGCGTCGTAGCGGCGAAGTTGGCGTTCACTGGCGGACATAGTTCAGTCTGTTCCTGCTAAGCGCGACCTTACAATTAGCTTCCACATCGCTTTTGCAACATGCATGGCACAGCACCAAGATTCTAGTTCTTTTCAGAAAATAAGTGGGTACTCGTTCTGAGCCTTGTTCATCGTGGCAGGCTCGCTTTCCGGCCGGAAACTTTATGTGTATTAATATTTGCCTCAGATGACAGCCGACAGGCCTCGCGACGACTTTCTTCTTGAAGTGCACTTGCTTGTGTCGACTTTCTTCACCCTATCCTCCTTTCATTTACTCTATTAGTGTCATTCTAATCATCATGTCAATGTATAATATCTTACATCATCACCTAGCTTCAACGGCACAGCAGGCCTACAATGGTATGGGCCCCAGACTTTCTGGTGTATCCTGGCTTTCCTAAGCTGTAATAAATAAATAAATATTATTATTATTATAGACACTTTGCAGCAGCTGTGCATGCACGCCGCCATAAGCGACCTTCAGTTTTTGTTTCCTTTTATTTCGTTTACTTCACTTTATCATAGCAGGCCAGGTTAATGCCATCTTAGACTCTACTGTGTCCTTCTCCCCAGTCTCGGCCATTGTGGAGGCTCGTCAAAGCCCGTTTCAGTGGCTCGGTATTTAGGTAAGACACGAGAAGGGTCAGAAATGGCGGCTCTAATAAGGTGCGTGTGCAATTCGTCTATATCCGCAAAGCTAAGCAGTACAACAGCCGTAGCATCTTATCTGACTGATCGGAACTGATCTTGCGACTAGAGCAGTCGTACCTCTTGCGGTATAGCAATACGAACTTTGAGTCGCACAATGGCCATGCAGCTGATCACAAGGATTGCCATCATGCTGGAGCCTGAAGTTTCGGTTTTGCAGTAAACCCCCGAAACAAAAACTTTAAATAGGATATCTACAAAACTACACAAGCCATCGAAAAGAAATCGACACCTCATAATTCAGGGACCGTTGTAACCCTAAAATCGAAAAAAAAAAAATGTACCGGAATCATTTTCAACGAAAATTCACTGATTCCTTTTTTTCATTAGACGTTTCAGGGCAAATTTTTATATTGAACAAAAGGAGGCAATCAATGTTGAAGGCCAACCCAGTTTTTAAAAATCCTGGATCGAGCACGCAGTTCGAGTCATTCATTGCTGAAGTTTTCTCCTGGAAATCTGTCATACCGAAACCAAACGCGTGATGCCCGCCGGAAGGGCAACTTTCGTCTGACTCCGGAGGGTCGCGTGTTATTAAAAAAAAAAAATTGCGTCACAGTGCGCCGCAGCTGAATGCAGTCAGTATTCCGTGGCCATGGCGAGCTAAAGCGATAAGCTTTAGATTATCGGTCGCGACAAGTTGCTTTGTTTTGCTGCTTGATATTACTGAAAAACGTTGTAATCATGGATCTCGCATCCATGATTACAACGTTTTTATCAGGTTCAAAGAACAACCTGAACATAAACTACTGAACAAAGGGTGAATGCTTCGACTCGCTGTGACGTGATAATGACCCAAATTTTGTCATTAACACGGGTTCCTTCGGTTTCAAAAGAGGTTTGTCTTTCCGCGGGTTCGGTTTCGGTTTCCAAAGATTTCCAGGACAAAATATGTCAATGAATAATAGGAATCGCATGCTAAATCCAGTATTAAAAAAAGAAATGGTTTTTAATATTGATTGCTTACATTTTTTCAATAAAAACCTGGCCCTCAAACGTCCAGTTATAAAACTTAATTGATGAATTTTCGCTGATTAGTCATTTAGTTGCATTCTCTCTTGACCATAACGTCCGCCTGGCCGTATAACTCACTTGAGCAGACCGCAGTTATGTACGTTTTATAGCTTTTTTTCTAAAGAATCGGAATACGATAAATACAAGAAGAAAAAAAAAACCACCCTGTATATATGTGACATAGGCCATTATTGTCGCTGTTGTTGTTTTAAATAAGAAAGGCATTGGAATATTCTTTTCACCGTGTGCGGATCGGACCCGCGTAGGTTGTGGACAATAATCGCGAAAGAAGTGAACAGATGTGGGATGCGATTTATATAACAGCTTTCATTCCTGCTAAAGTCAAACTGACGTACTATTACACTTGGGGGCATTGATGGCCCTGTGGCGCGAGTGTTAGACACTAACCTGCATCGTGATTAAAAACCGTAATGCAGGACTGCTAGTCTGAGACCACGGGGGATCGGTGGCCGAGTAGGCTAGCGCACACCAGCTCGGAGCACGTGGAGCGAAAGCTCGAGCTACAGAACCCAGGGATCCTGGGTCGAATCCCCACCTTGGTGTAAGAATTTACACTTTTTTTTCTGTGTGTGTGTGTATAGCAATGCGTGCGGCGGTCAAATCATTACGATCTTCCTTCTCACGCACCCTAGCCATACCTCGTTTTACCTCAAGTCCAGACGTAGACGAGCGGATGGTACCAATCAGAATACGTGAGAAGCGCACCGTCATGCCGTTACGTTCGTCGTGTTTCTGTACTTGTTCTATGGTCGCTGAACCAATCACACACACAAAAAAAAACAGTGAATTCGGCTTTTGACACTGCTCGATCAGTCCCATTACTTAGTAGCGTCAACTGTGTCCGGACTTGAGCTACAACGAGAATTCCTCAACAATGCGACGGCACACGGGTGGAGGCGTACACGCAACTCGCAACAACGCAGCGCTATCAGGGTAGTGAGGTGTATGCCATCGCTTCCTCGACGCGGTCTTCTTTCCCAACCGGCCCGTCTTCTTGCCGTCGAGACAAGCCAGACCGGCAACATCTGACGCGGCGCCCGAGGGGAAGGGCAGACAGGGAAGGGGAGCACGAAGTGTCTGGCAACCCTTCCCTTACTCCCAGGCATTCTCCGGCCTCGTTTTTCCTCGTACGGACGTTTGCTCGCTGCACTGGACGTCCGAAGGTTCTTCACGTGAGCGACTGATCAAGCACGGAAGTTGGCCAACAAAGAAGGTGAGTGAAGCCGGCGCATTATCTACGCGATGCGTAAGCGAGGTCGCTGTTCACATCGCTCGCTCAAGGACAGCTCCGTCAGGTGTTTATCCGAGATCGTCAATCCGGGCTTGTGTGCAGTATTCCTGTAAGGGGCTCAGGTGGGAGGGGGGGAGGGGGAGGCATACTATGGATTTGTCAGACTTAAACGTAACGCGTTAGTTGTATCTAGTTGCTTGTTTTTCTCTGTAACGGAGGAACGACGTAGTTACGCTTTAAGAGAAGGAACGTGTAACCATCCTACTCCTCACCCCAGCTCGCCCCTGTAATTTGCACGACGAGAAAACGCTTGATAGACCATAAAAAGGATGTGCACTGCACAAGGTGTGCGGGTATAGCGACCGTTTCTTTTTTTTTTTTTCTGAATGAACGAGTTAAGAAGGGGAACTTTTATTGGCGACAAATGTTGGAAGCACCTACTGCTTTAATACAAACGACACATTCGAAGGATCGAAAATATAACGCATTCCTTTTAAGCTGATGTCACGCGCATCATTTGAATTGCAGTAACCAGTAACGTGCTTAGTTATTTCTTCAGTGAATAACGAGTGAGGTATACTTAGTTGTTCTATTTCAGTAACGTCACATGTCTGGGTTGTGTGTCCTTTGTATAAGAAAAGCAAACGAAAGAATTAGGCGTTCGTGTTTAAGCAGCGGAAGGCTAGTCTGCCTTTCGAGGTATGGCGACACTGGTTTCCGCTGTAGAAGATACATTTTGTCTGTGCGGTACCGCTGCTAGCGTGGGGTTTTTAACGTGCAGCGCGCAGTAGCGACACTCGAACCCCCCCCCCCCCCCCCCCCCCCCCTTGTATAGGAAACTCTGGCCGGAGGGGGAGGGGGGGGGGGATTCAGTCGGGGGTATGTTAATGGAGTGCCAGGGTTAAAAGAGGGGGGGGGGGGGGGGAGGGGGTGGTTACGGTGGTTAATCTCTGACTTATTTTCTTCCCAGATTGTCTATCTAGACGTCATGATCTCGACATTGCGTAGAGGGTTATTTCTCTGTGGGACGTCGGCGTATCCCATGTGCCCCATGTTGGATGCGTGTAATATCAATACAGTCATGTCTCGTTAAAATGGACCCCGTTCATATTGATACCCCTCTATATGTACACCATTTTCGTAGTCAAACTGAAGAAATACATGCATTTTTGTCTCGTTATTATGGACAACGTTTTTATGGACACCGTTATTATGGACAACTCACACTATGGACGATTTCTTTGGGAACGGACGTGTCCATATTAACGGACGTGTCCATATATATATATAAGCTAGTACCGCCGAGCGCCGACGAAAGCTGAAGAAGTCCCGCATGAGGCGTATGCGAGGGTTTTTCCGTATTGGAGGCCGGGCTGCTCGGACAGCAACCGTCTCGTTAACGAAGGGGTAGACATACGCTAGGCGTTCCAGCACTTCAAGCGTGACACCAGCACGGCTGATTGCAGTCGCGCCTTCGAGTGTCGGTCTGGGGATCGATACTGCCTTGTCCTATCTTTGGACAGAACATTCTCGCCAGTCGCTCGAATATCACGGGACACTTCATACTTCTGCTATCGGCGGTTGATTTGTCACGCGTGGGGATCGGGCAGAGAACCATTCCAGCTGCCGTGGATAGTTTTCGCGAAGACTGGTCTTATTCAATGTTCCTACACCTGTGCGACTGATTTTCTTCGAATCGCCATCATGCAACCATTCCACAGCTGCTTGATTGTTGCCCTGAAACTGTGCGCTCGCTGCACAGTTTAACCTAACTTACTCAAACGTAGAAAACGTCGGGTTGGCTTAGCGAGTCAAGGGGTGTGGCGATCAGACGATGGGATGAACCGACGAGCCGAATCTCTGCGCGTCACAATTCTTGTAGACCTCAAGACATCAAGCATTGTGGTCTACCCACTACACACAAAGCCAATCAGAGCTCTGCATTGTTCTGACGTCACCGCAACTCGTGCGCAAGAAGCAGAAGACTTGCTGTCCGCACACGAGAAAGCTCTCGGCCTACATGCCAGCGGGAAACCCCGCCTGGTTCCTGATCACAGACGAACTCAATCAGCCTGCAAGTGCCCTCGGTCACGGATGTACCAACATGCCGAGACAGCAATTGCGTTTTGCCGCGCAGCAGGTTCACGCTTTGAAAGGCACGCCAATGATCTCCCTAAAAGAGATTATTATCGGCATGCTTTGAAAGGCATGTCGGTTATCTCCTTGGACGTGAAGATGGACCGATTGCGATGGCCTCGGCTGCCAACGCACGGAAAAGTTGGAAGCGCCTCACGCCAGTACGTACCCCCTAGCGGGCAAGGCCTGATCATGACGTCATCGTTAGTGCATTCCCGACCTTCCCAAAGCGGCTAAACACGCTAAAGCTCGACAAGTCTCGGCGCAAAAAGGCATAAGCGTGCGTCTTGGCGTCGGCGCACATGCTATAGTATGCGCGCCGACGCGCTTGCGTCGATGCCGACCCAACCTATAGGAGGCGCTGCGTGGACCCTCGAGTGAGAAATTAATTCTGTGCTAAGTAAATGTTATTAAAAACAAACGAAGAATAACGCTGGCTAGGTGGCGCAAGCTGCCACCAGATTCAAAGTGTTCAGCCTCATCCATCCATCCAGTGAGGACATTTGGGGGAGGGGTAGGGGCAGTTTTTGTCTTTTTTTCTCTTTGTCACATCAAGAAGTTTTACGCATCATCCATGCGCTGCTCGAAGTATTTCTTACGAGCTTTGGGTATGGTAGGAAGAAACGATGCTTTTGATGCTTGAAACGGGTACGTCTCGATTAAATGATATAAATCTAGTCTAGCATGCACCTACATATATCTTAATTCAACGCACGAAGGAGGAAATCAGCAACGTTGCGGGAGGAGCCGGATTTCTTCTTCCAGTATGTTTCTTGAGGTAAACACGAGTATAGCATACACAGGTTGCACAGCAATTATGCGGGATGTTCTCTTCTCCGGCAGTTGTTCCGCTATGGTGTACACCAACTCATCTTTCAGACGTCAGGCCGCTGGGGTGGCGCTGCTGTCGGTACTGCTCATGCGCAGACGCCTGGTGTAGGCAAACGCGGGCTTGTTTCTAAAGTGCGCGTCGGTCTATGGTCATTGAGAGCTCAATAAAGCGCAGCTCCGGTCGAAAACAGAACCAAAATAAATGACGGGTATCGCTTTAGTGGCGCGAAATATGATCACAGTCGAAATATTACGTCAAAGCGAAGCCGCGTACTCCACTGAAACCGATTTCAAAGATGCGACCAGCTGCTCTTAAGCGGACAGCAAGCGGGTTAACTTTTAGTCGAGGAACACTCTCGCAGCACCCTTGTGACGTCACGTCACGGTGGAGCTGCGGCTTATTGGTTGTACCGTGTACTCCATAATCACGATGACGTCACGTCGTGGCCGGATGGATGAATGGAGGGATGCTAACGGCTGTACGCTTCATAACGGGAGGTAGTTTACGCCATCGAGCCTAGCAATTAAGAACGAAAAGTATGATTTCTTTATTCGATTCTCCGTAGATAATTTCCACCAGTCTTCAAATCTCCTCTTTGTTATTACAATGCACTTATCACTCATTCTTTTATTCTCGTGTGCAAACCCGTTCAGGCGAAATACGTCACCCGCTTCCGGTAGGGCGGGATCAAGCCCTCGCATCTCAACACCACATGTTATATTGTCTCGTCTTTCACTTGGCATACGGCACACCTCGCATTCATTTTCTCATACTTTGTCCTATATGTCTCAGTCCTCCATATACTCCTGTTCTAACCTCAAATAACAATGAGCTCCCCCGTGAATTATCATACCAATGTTCCTTCCTTATTTTCTGTTTTCGATCCCTATACATAGTCAAAGCTGATGTTTTCTGCATTCTTTCCTCCCACATATTTTTCTCGGCTTCTTTTACTTCCTTTTTCACAGAGGTAGTCTGTTCTGCCCCCGCACTTGACTGTTGTTATATGAAGTTTTGTTTTTGGGTTCGGTTTGTCCATTTAGTGTTCAAACGTTTCATGCAAGGAAGCTTACGTATACCTTTTATAGCTCATCGTTTATTCTCTATTGTGACCAGTCATTGTTCAAATTTCAACTTACTGATCGCCTCTCTAACCTCGAAAGATGCCCAGCCCATGTCTCCCTGCACTCCTCCGTTTGGTGTATTCTCATGCGCCCCCAGTGCCAGTCTTCCCACGCTCCTCTCCCGGGTCTCTTAGCTCGACTGGACATCAGATTTCATGCAGAATACCACATTGCCAAAGGACAACCCTGACACCATGACACCTTTCAATATTCCCCTAACAAGTCCATATCTTTTGTAATTCCATAGCGCCCTACGCTTCATCATTGCTGCATTTTTTTCCTTTCTTTAGAATATTTTCTTCCTGTTTTAAGTATTGTTTTCCCTCCTTCAACCATACTCCTCTACGTGTTATATCAAAAGGTCTTATATTTTCAACGGACCCTCATCTTATCGTTATGAAGCATTATTTTCAACTTGTCGCAACTGAATTGCAGGCCCAGAGAGTCCTTCCTTTCCACGGATCTTAATCAGCTTCTGTAAGATATCCCGGCTATCTGCTAACACTAGAATGTCGTATGCGTGAAGCATCCTCGGTGTAGCTTGGTTTACTTTTCCCCCTCTCTCCATATATGAAACATCACAATCTAAAATTGCCCTCGTCTAATATCTCTTTTCCTTTCTGCTCAGGTACACTATAAAAAGAAAGGTGATAGGGTTCAACCCTGCCTGGAGTCCTCTTTTTATTTCTGACGGTTCTGTGATTTCTGTGATTTGTGATTCCCATGTTATAACTACCTTATTATTTGTGTATATCTGTTGTAAAATCTTAATCAATCTAAATCATACTCTCCCAGCTGCACCCAGAGTTTTTCCTGACCCACATAGTCGTACACCCCATGATGTCTAGAAATGCTATCCATAACGGTTTTTTACTCATCCGTGCCGTACGCCTGATGATCAATGTTGCCATCCCTCCAGCAGATAGTTTCGGTTTTGCCGTAGAAGCACGAAACCAAACTTTGAGCCGTTATATATATATATATAAAAAAAAAACTACGGAAAATATTGAGGACAACTATATTATACCTTGTAGTCCACACTCTCAGAAAAAAAGGTGTATTATTACACCCCTTGTCCCATATAATACACCCCAAAACTTCAATTCGACGTACAGCGCCCCATAATCGAACAGGCGGCCCCAAAGTTTACGAGGGGCTTGATAGCCGTGTGGTACAAGATATTAAGATAGCTGATGTACGTATTAATAACTACAAAAAAGATTATTGGAGTTTTCTTGGCTGTACTGCAAAAGCTCCGTGTTTTCTTTCTTTGGTCTTTGATACGAACTTTAGCAATTTAATAAGTTATATCGCACCGTTATCAAGCCACTGGTAAAATTTGGTGCCGTCAGTTCGCCTATAGGGCGCTGTACGTCGAAATGAAGCTTTGGGGTGTATTATATGGGACAAAAGGGTGTAAGGTGATACCCTTTTTTTTTAGAGTGCAGGAACACTTCCTTAGTTGAAAACGGTCGCAATCCCAAATTCATAAATATTGACCGAAGCTGTCCCTTTAAAGAGGCCCGGCAATCCTATTTAAGCGTCTACCTTTTTTGCGGTTTCCACGTCTGTTGGGGTTCGGGCAAGCCAGCGGGCATGGAAAGAGTTACTAAATATCAGTGCGTCATATTTTAACCGGACGACGCGGAAACCTCCGGCACCTACGGGGGCGACCCGGGGCGCCGAAAGCGCGCGAAACGTGACGTCTTTGGTCTTTGGCTTACTACTGGTCGGAGCCGCTAAAAGCTTTTTTTTAGTCGAAATACAAAATCTAACTGGCGCGAACCGTCTCAATTAGTTATGAAAGTAGTTTTCCTTCAGTATTTTAGATCAGAAAAGAAACAAATGCAGTTTATGAAGTACGGAAATAAGGAATGACCCGTCGACATACCCCCCACCAAGCGGTGCAAAAGGCGGCGCATAATAGAAAAGTGTAGTAGGATCAGGCACCGACGTGCGGCGAGCGTAGAAAGGTCCCGGATGTACTCTGCGGTCGAGGATCCGACCGGTTCCGAGCGTTCCGAAGGCCTTCGGCGTCTTCGGCGAGCAGGCTTGGCTGTATGGCAGCGCGAAGTGGCTCCCGTTCTGACTGATCTTTACCCGGTGTTTGGTGTCGCTTGTGGCCAATGAAGTGTCATGCCGAATTAGTGTTTAATCGTGCAGCAAATGCAATGCAAGCCGCCCTGGCTGCCCGCTTCATACAGCCTATCCAGCACATGCTTTAGTGGCGCCCTCTCGAGCCGTCTACGCGGAGTGCGGCAGCCGTGAGCGCTCGCTGAGCTCACTACCCCTCCTCTAGTTCACGGCCACTGAAGCAATTAAGGACGTCATGAAGGAGGTTATTTTTTGCTTGTTTCTGTAATGTTAATTTGCCTATAACTTCTAAAATAAAGCGAAATTCTAGAAAAGAAAAGTTTCATTAAGTTACTACGTTCAGTGCGCTCAGGTTCGGTGCAAATTTAAAACCGGTAAAAAAGTTCTTGCAGGGCCCCTTTAAGAAACGCAGGGTGCGGCGAGCCCCCAGCATCTTGTTATCCCTCCGCAGTGCATTAGATCGTGGCATTAGTCGATAAGAACGTCGAAGGATGATTAACGAAGCAGGAAGTGTGAACAGTTAACTCGCACAATTATAAGGTCACTGACTATTGTGAAGGAGGGATGGATGAATGGATACGGCGGAGCCTTTTTAATCGGACGGTGGCTTGCGCCACCTAGATAAAGGAAATCCAACCATCACGCCCCTGGCGGTTAAGGCTTGCGCCCCGCCGGCTTCACGTTTGTGCGTTTCTGTGCTTTTCTTTATGTTTTATTTCTGAGGCGCGTCCGCTTATCACTCTACCCCATTGCGCAGGCGCGGCGCCCCCACCAGCTTCACGCCTTCTGTGACGAAGCATCTGCGTTGCTGTGCTTTTGTGTTTTATTTCTGAGGCGCATCCGCTTGATGAGGTATTTTTATGGCCATCTTTCGGGCACAACGCCGACGACGCCTTTTCCCGCAATGGGACATATAAGGCTTTCGCCCTAAAAGAGATTTAGTTTAAGAAGACAAATAACTTAATAAACTTCCGCGCCTTTTACGATTATATTCTTCGTCGAAATTGGTAAAATTGATAAACCTGAAAACTCTGACGGAGGGGCAGAAAGCCGATAATTTTCAAACAGTTTAGCGGTGGTCACACCGCTAATACATCCTACAACGGACGATCCGCAGACACTGCCTGATGATTGTTTCTTACTTGTAGCACGGTCCTGCAAGATTGGTCATAAAATACCGTCTACAGGCATGTTCGAAACATACAAGCATACTATCTATGAAACAAGCATGCTTGAAACACGCTGATGTCATGTCCGCCCATACTTACGTCATCAGGTATGCAGCGAACACCATGTATTTTTTATGAAGTACGAGCAATGTGGCTGCGGCTTTGAAGAAGTTAGTCATCATCCGATTTCAAGCAAAGAAAAAAAAACAATTAAGAAAACTTTTTGTTACTTCTACGTGAATTAACCGATTTCGGACTAAGACTGCAAGTTAGACTAGTTGGTTCTGATTCATACTGATGTTTAACGTGAAAAAAATACAGGGACAGAAAGTTTAAGTCAGAACTACTTGTCCTTTATTTCCTCTTTTTTCCGTTTTTTTTTGTTTTTCGTAAAACTTTAGTACAATTTTGGATGATTATTGCGCAATATTAATTTTTTTTTGTTTTTGCTTTTTCTAGAAGATCAAGATGACCACCGACGTGTACCGAGACGTGGATGGTCTCCACGTCAGCCGAATATTCCATGAGTCCTGCGTTCGATCCGCCATGGCCTACAAGCCCCGGCCAGGAGACGTGTTCATCGTGAGCTACCCGAAATGCGGAACCACCTGGATGCAGCACATCGTGTACAGCATCTACACGGGAGGCGTTCCCCCTAAAGACATGACCGAGTTCATGACGAGGACACCTTTCCTCGAACTGTTGGGAGCCGAGGGCGCCGTCAAGATGCCGAGACCGGGGGCCATCAAGACTCACCTTCCGTACCATCTTCAGCCATATTCGCCCGACGCCAAGTATATTTACGTTACGCGGAACCCTTACGACTGTTGCGTGTCCTTCTACCACCACACCAAGAGCTTCCCGGCTTACCAGTTCGAGACCAAGTCTTTCGACGAGTTCTTCGAGATGTTCATAACGGGAACGGCTGACTACGGGGACTACTTCGATCACCAGTTGTCCTGGTACGATCACCAGGACGACGCCAACGTCCTTCTGGTGACCTACGAGGACCTGAAGAAGGACGCTCGGTCCTGGATTTTGAAGGTTGCCGAGTTTTTGGGCGAGGAGTACGCCATCAGGCTGCGGGAAGACGAAGAAGTCTTGAATAGGGTGTTGAAGGTCACGGGCATCGAGTTCATGAAGGGATTCAACGAGGAGTACAAGAGGTGGACTGAGCAAGCGCAGGAACTGACGAACGAGATCTCCGGTCTCAATGTGGCACGAGAGTCGTCCCTGACTGATGATCTCAAGAAACCCATGACAGGGGATTTTGTTCGCAAGGGTATAGTGGGCGACTGGAGAAACCACTTTAGCGAGGAACAGATTAAGAGGATGAAGGAAAGAATCGCACTGAAGACTCGCGGCAGCACGCTCATGGACCTCTGGAAGGATGTCGAGCTGCCGTGAAAGACACCTCTAGAAACTAGATGATAACGCGAACAGTGTTTAAAACTGAATACGATTCCCATGTAGAGAAAACTATACGCATATTCGAAATGGCGTTTCACCAATTTGAGTTGGTATTTTTTTAAACTCCTATCTCAATATGACGAAGACCAATGACGAGGTGATTTTTGCTTTTTCTTATAAATGTGTGTTGGACTTGTTCGTCTTTGCACAACGCTTTACAATAAACGAACATTACAATAAACATACATAAACAATCTCTTTACAATAAACATACATAAACAATCTCTTTACCATAAACATAATAAACTAGACACTTTATTTGATCTTTCAAGAAATAGGGATTCATAGTCAACGAAGCTGTTACCTTGTTTCAGATTGTGTTTTGCATGAATTTGGCTCGGAAATTCACGCAGCTTGATAGCAATATACAGGTATCTAAATCATGATCCTCTTTCCGAAACTCCAATGGTATATCTCGAACATCCCGGGAGTTTATCAGATTGCCCCCTTAGCACCAATGATTGGTCTTTATTTAATCAGCTCCACCAATCACCAGAGTAGCACCAATGACCACTCAGTTTCAGTGGTATAAAGCGGTGAACGTCCCCTTGCCCCTGTACCAATAAATTTTCATATAAAAATCACAGATAACTGATATACGTAGTCAAAGTCAGCGAAAAACGTGAGAAAACTATAAGAATACAGGGCCAGAGAGAGAGAGAGAGGTGACGTTTTATTAAAAATATTTGGGTGGACTTAGCCTTGCCGATTAGGCCGGCATTGTCCCGCCCAGAAATGAAAATGAAATAATAAAATGAATAAAGCTAACTGAAATAAATGATGATTGAAGAAGAAAAGAACACACACACACGCACGCACACACACACACACACAAAAAACCCTAAAGTGTTTGTCTCGTTGCGAAGATAAATCACAGGTCCGTTTACGCACGCTTTCGGTCTCCCAAGTGTAAATGGCACTCAGTATTTCATTCTATATTCGTGCTTGTTGTCCAGTTGCCTGGAGGAAGTTTAGGAAAAGGGCATGTAGTAGCTTTCTTCGAGCTCTTCTTCCAGTTGGATATATTAAATTTGTAATATCGTTCAACTTGACGTTATGTCTGTTAAGTTCTTGGGCGAAGTCTTTTCGATGGCTCTTGAACTTATTAAATCGCAAAGCTGGTGATTTATATCTTCTGTAACACCACAGCTGTCACAGGAGGCTGAAGGTATTTTACCCCATTTGCGTAAAAGTCCAGTGCGAGTGGTGTTTGGTGCGAAGTCGGCAAAGTAGAGTTGCCTCCTTGCGGCGTAAGCTTCCACTAAGACAGGGCTGATGTTGGCTATTTTTTGTTTCCGACAAAGAGCCGAGATGTTCTTTGACAAGTATGTGGAAGGCTTTCGGATCGTCAGGTGCGTGCATTGTCCGCTCTTTATTGTGTGCGTTCGTAGCAAGGTTGTCCGTTCTTTCATTTCCGGCGAGTCCAACGTGAGCGGGAATCCATTGAAAACGTATCTTGAAACCGGAGTCCTCAAGAATTTCTGTCGCGGACCAAGCAGCCACCGCGATTTTCGATGTTCCTTGTATATGGTTTTGCTGCTGCAGTGCACAACGAGAAGTCTGTGCAGCACTACTTTTTGTAGTGTAAGTCTCTTAAGAGTACGAAGTGCTGCCACAATTGCTATTATTTCTGCAGTCGTGGAGGACACCATTTGGTCGATGGGGCCTCTCCACTCAAGGCCTAGGACTGGGACATTATAGGCGGCTATGCTTCTTCTTTTATTGCGATTTACAGAACCATCCATGTAAACTTGCAAAACGTCTTTAAATGTTGTTTAAATCTATTTAGTCACTCTCATTTTCAACACCGATTCGCTAGATCTTTTCTTGTTTAGTATGGCCGGGATCTTCTCATTGCATTTTGGGATGTATGTCTCCCATAGGGGCTTAGGTTGGCAGTCAAAACTATTTGGTCGAGCTTCTGATTACCACCCTGGGTGTTTCAGAGTGTGCAAAGAAATGAGAAAGCGTGATCTTGTCCTTCTCGCTAGTCGTTGAAGCAGGCTCCTTCCAGTAGCTGTTTCGTGTAAGCGGAGCTTCTGTAGAAGTAGGCGTTGCGTTGCCAAAAGAGGCAGTGGTAGAGCTTGCGCCTCTATGTACGCCAGGTCATTTCTTGGTAGAACTGGGGACACCAAGGCTTGTATGAAGTCCTCGTCTATGAATGCGTTCGAGAAGTTCAGAGTTGGACCGAGACAACTTTATATAAGGGAGGGCGTATAAGATGCGGGAAACTGCTAATGCTGAATGGAGACGTAGCATAGACCTTGGAGAGGTTCCGCACGACTGTCCTGCCACCCTGCTAATGGCATTTCTCAGCACAACTGTGGACCTTGCCGTTGCCATTGCCTGTGAACGCCAATTCAGCCGAGAATTAATGGAGAAACCTAGAAATCGATGCTGCCGGACACAACGAATCGGAGTTCCGTTTACCCGAAGTTCTATTCGTGTGCTATTTCTATCTTTTCTGGGAAAAAGAATGAAGGCCGTCTTCTCTGGTGAAAACTGTAGTACGCACTCAGCTAGGTATTCATTCGAGGCTATAATGGCAGCTTGAGAAGCATTTCGTAGACCATGATGCCTGAAGCCTGAAGTCCAAATGCAATTATCATCCGCGTAAATTGACATACTAGTAGGAAGAGTGTACTTGGGGAGGGATTCTGGTAACTTTAACAAGAGGATGTTAAAAAGTATCGGTGATAGTTCACTTCTTTGAGGCAAGCCACAAAGGGATTTACGCTGCGAGTTCACTGCTCGTCCCAGCCGAACTTGGAGCGTTCGTCCAGCCAAAACGTTCTTTAGGAAGACCTGTAAATTACCCGTGATTCCAAGTTGTGTTAGCTTTCTCAGGACTGCGGAATGCTGCACATTGTCATAAGCCTTGCTGATGTCAAACAATACTGACAAGGTTGAGTTCTTGTTGTAGTTGTTATGCTCAACTGCACTCAATAGGTCAATCACACTATCCGCTGTTGTGAGGACCCTTCTGAATCCGGTCATCTATTTGGGTAATAGTTGATATTTCTCAAGCCACCACGAGACACGGGAGTGGATCATTCACTCCATGAGTTTCGTTACGCATGACGTTAGCAATATACGTCAATATGAAGGTGGCGTTGTTCTCGTTTTTCCCGGCTTGTGTAAGGAACAACCCATGCTGTTCGCCAAGTTTGTGGTATGTGTCCCGTTGTCCATATGATATTGAAGGAATTCAAAAGTTCCTCTAGTCGTCCCTTGGGCAAGTTTTGGAGCATCTGATCTGTAATCCCGTCAGGGCCTGGTTCACTTTTTCTGCGGCACATTTTTTAGTGCAGCGGCTAATGTGCCTGCGGTAAAAAGAGCATCAAGAGGTGATTTCTTTTACCGCGTAGCTTTCCGCTCCAGCCTCACTCTGAGGCGTAGAAAAATAATAATAATAATAATAATAATAACTTTATTCACCATATCACATATGGTGGGAGCTGGAGAAAAAATCTGACAAAGCAGCTTGACGGGTCTCCAGCCCCCTGAACAGGTACACAGCGGGGCCAAATTACATAAAAGCAAGAAAAAAAAAAAAAAAAAAAATCCGCAAAGCTTTCCAGTGTGTCTTGTAGATTTTCGCCCAGACGAAGTGCCATTGAAGCGTAAGATGACTGCGTCTCGTTTTTCCCCGTGAAGCAATTCAAAATTCGCCAAATGTGGGTTCCAGGCTTGTTGGCATCGGCCGACGCTGTGCTGTCAACCCACTGCTTACGCTTTTCCTTTTTTGCATTTCGACGAATGATTGCATTTATTCTATTCAGCAGGGTTTTGACTTCTGGTGTATTGGTTTGCTGAAGTTTTCTTTCTACTTGTCTTCGCTGCGCAAAAGGATTAAATAGTGTGAAGTCGGGCTCGGGATAATGGCTTGGAAGGCGCATTCTGATTGTGGCTCTTTCAGTACTAATCACGATTGCCTGGTCTAGGAATTCCGGTGATGCTGTGAGATCTTTTCTGGAATCGTCCCAGTGAATGAAATGCCCAGTACGTTGTTGCGTTGAGCATACACCTGCTAACTCTATAAATATGGAATAGTGGTCCCTGCCCATTGTATCTGGAAAGGTTCTCCATTGTATGCTGAGGTCTGTTGAGTATGCCGTGATGTCTATTGCACTGTAGGTGGCAGGTGATCTAAAAAATGTCGGACTTCCGTAATTTGCTATAGCCAAATCACAATCCTCAAAAACCTGAGAGAGTGATTTCCCTCTAGCGTCATCTTTTGCACTCCCCCAGAGGCTGTGATGCGCGTTCCAGTCACCACATAACACAATAGGGTCTGAGCAGCGTTTGCAGAGTTCGGCAACCGCACTCGCAACAGTAGCCTTGCCCTTCCCCGGACGCACATAGGCTGAGCCGATGCATAGTGGAAGTCCACCTACGACTACATTCGCTGCTATCAGTTCGAGATGTTCTATGCAGAGGTCACTTCTGTCAATCTTATGTTGTGGAAGCTTTTTTCGTATAAACACCGCCGCAGATTCGTGGGGAAAGCCTTTCATTGTGGGATTTTTGTAGCATGTATATCCGGAAATTCTATTTTTATTTGGTAGTTCTGCTTCACTAAATGCTAAGATTGGTATTTGATAAGTTTGTAAATATAAGGACAGTGCCGCCAATCCTACTGGGAGGCTGGCACAGTTCCACTGCATTATTAATGGCACATGTCTTTGTTTAGGGAGCACTGTTAATTGATGTTTTGGATCCTGGGCCATAACTACATCCAGTTTCGGATCATATCGGTAATCGTCACTTCGAAAACCATAATTCCTTGTAGTACCAACTTGAGATGGCGTGGAGGTAGTTGGGCAATGGAGATTCGTAGGGCAGAGAAAAGTAAACTTACTATGTCGTCAACATTTGATATCCCAGGCAGATCAGTTTCTGTCTTTGGTGGTGGTGAAACATTTTTTGTCGCTCTGCTGTAGAGGCGTCTACCCGTCGACGAAGATGCCAGGTGAGCTTGGGACACGTTGGGGACCTGCGATTCTCTGGGCGGTAAGGGTTGGGAACTCCTCCCCGAGTAGTGCCTATTTCCCCGTTAGATTCTTACTGGCGCTGTTCGTTTTTCCTATTTTTTCCCCATCCCTCCCGTTATTTTGTGCCAGATGTTGTTTGGCTGCCTGTAGGCTTTGATATGGCGACAGATGCAACTGGTGATTTCTGTGAT